GAGCATGTTTGGTGGGATGGGGGTTTCAAACCCACGACCCGCAGATTGCGAATCGAGTGCCCTAACCACCTGGCCATGCCAGGCCACCAGCCACTAAAGAATGCAATCTTTTATATCAGAATTAAAATACTTGTATAAGAAACTACAAATCCACACACAAATTAATATTCAAAATTTTTATATCATAAAGTTACTGCTGCCTAATTAAAAGTTACACATTATCTGATTTCTTTATTTACAAGGTATTAGTCTGAATTTGTTTTGATGATAATTGAAGAATACACTGAAAGTCCAGTAACCTTAGATGGCAGCACAAAACAGAAGTTTTGATATTTATTATTGTATTAACCCTTTTCAAACCAGTATCTCATATTTTTTTTGAGAACAAAATGAAAACAAAGTTTCAAAAATTCTGTCTAATATTTCCTAACAACTTATTCACAAAATGAAATTATAACTGAAATGTTGAGATTCCAGTTTTTTTTTTTATGTATGTTTTATTAAGGTATTTTGGATAACATATTTAGAAAATCCAAACTTTTAGGCACAATTACAAATTTTTGACACCCTGTTGTAATTTTTATTAAGATGGTAGAAATTCTTAAATTACCCACCTGTGCAGATACAAATTGTCAATATATGAAAAAGAGTAAAATTTAATTTTTGTTTCTTTTAATTTTTTTTACAACTTCCAAATGTCTCAAATTAATAAAATCATAAATATACCGTCTGAATGTTGTGATTACTTTCTTCCTCACAATACATTTGCCATAGAGCTTCTCTCCTTCCTCATTTGGATTGTACATTTTTAAGTTGCACTTTGTTTGACTAAATGCTAAGTAAGTGTTCACAACTTGAAATAATCTAAGTCACTAATGATCTTGTATTATTTATATGCAATTGGAAAAGTAAAAAAATACAGCTTGATCAGTTTCTCTGCATATGAAGTCCCTTACAGAGAAGCCACAGAATGGGATCTTATTAAAACTCAATTAATAAAAGGTGGTGAGAGGTAAGTTTTAAATACAGCAAGATAAATACTATCCAAGAGCATGCATGGAAAATGGATTTTAGGTTAACAGTCACAGGTTTAATGCTAATTGTATAGTCTATGTTACATAGGAGTTTATATTTCATTATCAATTATATATTGATAAAAATAATTCAAATTATATTGTAAGAGGTCCAATGATTGATTGTACTAGATGTTTGCATTTTAGATATGATTTTTAAGAGTTATTACTTTTCATTGATGCAGGATCAGATGTGTTGTTTTTTAAGACCAGCATGAAAAGGGTTAACCTATGCATCATTGTTTATCAAGTCTTAATATTCAAGCTTAAAAAAACAGATCCAAGTTTAAACTTACAGCTTCAACATATTCATTTAAAGCTTGTCTATATCTATGAATTAAGGAATCAACGAGTGTCCCTCTTGAAACGGCACATCGGGAATGAATAGCTAGATCCTCATTACAAAGAGCTTCGTAAGTTTTGGCACAAGACTTCAAGACTTCTGTATCATTATGTCTCTCTACAACTTCATGAATAAGTTTCAAGAGACTGTCCAAACTCTAATTTGAAATAAACACAGTAAAATATAAAAATGGGAGTCATAAAAATCACATATTGATTACAGCAAAAATAAATTAAAACTTTTTCTCAAAGACCTCATTGTTAAAATGGTATGAACCTAAAATACTTAGTTTAAGTAGGTTTTCTTTCTCCTTATTTTCATTAACCCTATCACCACGGGTCATGGGTCAAAGGCCATGTCATCATGTTTGTTGACTTGCATTACAAATTTTATTGAACTACTATTTTATGAATTTATGTCAATAAGTTTGGTATCAAACTGTACATTATAAATCAAATTTTAGTATTATACATTATTCAATTTCTTAATTTAAAAGTTAATATTGAAAAAAAAAAAACACTTTAACATTGATTTTGTGGGTCATGTGGTATGTTGAATGCAGCACTGGTTTAAATTAGATGTTTGTGATGTCAAAATACAAAGTCTATAGTTTAGTACGATTTAGGAACTCATATTACTGATATTAACAAACTAGAATATAAAAATATGAACCTCCTAAAATCTTCTCTATGCTAGATATTGTTCATGTACTGAATCAAACACAGCGACCCCACTCAC